TGACAAAGAACTACAAGAATATAGGATATCGTCCATGTACACGCCCTCGCGCACAACCGTTGCAGCGAGCGGATAGTGTTCTCCCTCATCATGGGATAATTGCAAAAGTGTGCGGATAGCTAAAAACGGCGAGCAACTTAAGCCGTAAGTGACAGTCTTTAATTCATATACGTTGATGGTATCATTAGGCGAATGACGATATAAAATATGTTGATAACATCTATCCGACGGATTCAGTTTGATTGCACGATACATTTTGCATACGTCGCAAATCAAACAATATTCAAACAACCTAAAATTCAATATTATAGCCCCAATATCTCGATACAGATTAGGCCCGGTTAGTAGAATATCATTAAGCGAAACATTTGTGGACGTTTTTGCCGAGGCATCGAACACCACTCGCAAAGGAGTGGTGGAACTACTGGGCTTAAGTATACTATGATGTGGTATCACATATTTACTCGGAGTGTCACCCGTATAAAGCTCCATATGCCCTAGATGTTCATATTCGTACATAAACTCTGAATAGGCTTGTCGTATAAAAGGTAAACGATTCAACTTGCGCTCTGTGAACCTGAGTCGTCGCTCGGCTGCCGCCCTTGAAGCGCCCAACGGAGGCGGGTCTGATATGAATGGTAACGGCACTGAATAGCTACCGTCCTCATTGCGGCTAGAACGAGCCGAACGAAGTTGAAGTATCATGATTTCCTTTTAGGAAATTATGACACAGTTTTAAAGTATTGACACGGTCAATCCTTTTATCTACGGTCAATTTACGAAATTGATCGCACCTGTAAATCATATCATTTTGATTGCAATGCGTGCAAATCCATTTATTTTTATTTTTATTATAATTCGACACATTAGTATTTAAAACTGTTTTTGATATACTTTTATTATAGTTATTATTGTTGCTTTTGTAATTGTTACCTGTAGGCTTATTTCTTGATTGTAACGAAATCGCACTTGTATTATATGAATGTTCGAGTACTTTAACTTGTTTATTTACAAAACTAATTAATTCAGAAAACGATGAAAGTGAGTTTTGATCCCGATTTTCTTCAAAAAGCCTCCTAGTACGCGCATCCAACCCACGTAAGGCTAAATGACAAAATAAATAGTCATGCAAATTTTTTTTCCAACGCCTCGATGGCTTTAAAAGAGTGATCGAATGTTTGAATAAATAAGGTAAGATTTGCGATAGTATCCTTATTTAACGGCGTAAAGTTTATCATTTTATCGATGTACCTACCCACGAGTATTCGATCATCTTGATATTTATTACATAAACTTTACCATACGAGAATATAATTAGCGGATGTTATAGGCAATTTTTTAACAATCTTTAACGCCGAAACTTTAACACATGAGAGTAAATAGTGAAACTTATCTATTTCGTCGAAATTTCGACTGTGAACAAGTGATACAAATGTATCGTAGAATGTGGACCACTTCTCAATAGCGCCATCGAATTTGAATAATCGCAATTTAGGTAATGACGGCCTTACATCAGTCCTATCTTTCCCACTGATGGGTGCCTGATCGCTCGGTTTTAAACGTAAATATTGCAATCTACATGCCTTATAAAGTTCATCAAATGTATCTAATTCACCGGTTGACAATCTTGTCTCCGGTTTTAATGATATATTTATTTCAATAATATTTAACACTGTTTCTTCAAACTTTGAGCGGACACTTTCTAATTCGGAATAATCCGCTATGAAATTCTGGATTTGTGCGGAATCATTCATTTGGGATTTCGCAAGATCGAAAACCTTTTTGTTAAAAATTTAGCAAATAGGTATTCCTTTTTAAAAATAAGTGTTTGCCTTTTTATCTTCAATTTGTCCGACATTATGAACAAAAACAACAAGGTGAATTTACATACTTTATAAACGTACCGCAAGCAATGAAAATTTAGATAAAAAAAGACGAATTAAATAAGTGTTAAAAAATAAAATAAAAAACGATTAACTCAAGTATATGACGTCCAAGTATATGACGTGAAAATCACTAATTTAAATATTTTTTTTTATAGAATAGGGTGACAAACGAGCACATAGTCCACCTGATGGTAAGTGGTTGCTGCGACCCATAGACATGAAAATGCAGATGCGTTGTCACCCGCGAGGACTGAGATGGAATGCCTCATTTCCAGTAAAAAGGGTCTCCGGTTCTCTACACTCACCATACGAAATACAGCAGCATTAAGCTACTATTTCACGCTGGTATTCTGTGAGAGCGTGGTCCTTCCCCGGTCGAGCCGACCCATTCGTGCTACAACTATACTACTAATATAACTGCAGCATGGCTCTACCACGTAAAAAATATATACATAAATAAATGCGGCTCGAAGGCCAGAAATGTGGCGGCTTGGGATTATTTTTAAAATATATATTGGACTCTATTGATATTCAATATCCCCTGAAACGTTCAGTTACCGCAGTCACAAAATTACACCAAGAACAATAAAACTACTCACGGTCTTACTAGCCAGCTTCCCAAGATAGGCAAAACGTTGACAGCTCCTGGTGGCTTATTCTACACGGTAGAATACACGTGTAGATTGTACACGGTACACTCTAGAGTAGTCCTTATTTTTAGTTTTGAAGAGATATTCACTCCATGATAACACAAAGAGATGTAGCCTTCTTACGCTTCCTACCCTCCCTTTTATTCTTTTTTGTCCCCACAGATTATAGCAGCGCGTTATGCGTCACAATGTTGCCACAGGTTATCACCGGCCCTCAGATCGTTGTAGATCATTGTGTCTCGGTATAAAATTTGCGAGTTGCGGTTTATTACTGAACAGATCCTATATTCAATAAAATTAAAACTAAACCCAAGCATACCACTGCAAGAGGACATAGTCAGTTCATTTTGCATAGATCGGACCATAAACAATAATTCAAAAGCTGAAGGTACTCCGGGTTTAACAGTGACATCGGGACGTCAGTCATCTCAGTCCCCCGTGACCGTGACCATGGGTGCTGGAAAGCGCCCGAAATGTCGGGAATTAAAAATAATAGTAATTAAAAGTAAAATTAACGCGATAAAATCCGTAAAAGTAGTTTTAATCAATTTTATTTGGGACTCTATATATAAATAACAAAAATATTGTACTCTATTACTTGTCTAGCATGGGGACTTAGTTGACATTGCGTTTGTGATTGTGTAAACTCTGAATTAGCCACCACTTCTTTCACAATTTTCCATCTAGGCCCATATCTTTGACTGAACGTGGTCCGAGTAGCTCACTGCTTCTTGGACTTGGTATCTTGGTGGACTGCGTATCCTTGTGGATGGGATTACACAAGCGTGTAGCTTTGTCATGTCGAAATACGTGACTATAATACAATAATAAATTATGAAGGATTGGAAATAAACGACATTATACGCTTTATCCGGCCATTATTCGGGCTAGATCTTGCTTAACAGTTTCCCTATCTGCGAAATAGACATTCTTATATAATTCATGACTTCATGAAACAAGAAAAGAAAAACATTACGTCAATTATTGCTATGCCATTTTTATATTTAACTTAAATAATTTACAAAAATAATTTAACGCATTTTTATTGAATTTTTTTCATAACTATTTATGAAACCTTTATTACGGTATCGATTACAGTGAGTTTTTGGGATGTTTACTATATCCAGCATATTATATAGTGAGATGTTACTATAACGTGTACCATATAGTGGAAGTGTATTAATATCCACTACCTCATATCAATACGTGGATGTCGTAAGAGGCAACAGAGGAAAGAAATCAGGTGATAGGCAACAGCGTCTTCCTAATAGTGACTAAAAATAAAAAAACTGAGTTTGCCAACCCGTTTGCCAAGCGTGACAACTTAAGCAATCCCTCTATGCGACAATTTATGGGGCAGGGCTATGTTCAGCAGTAGATTTTAATAGGCTGTAATATAATAATTTATACACTATTTCTATACAGTCAATTTTGGCGCCTTTTCCAATACACAACTGAAGCGTGTTATTCAGAATAGATCCAATTCACAAAAACGTTTTCGCATCATATATATATATATATATATATATATATATATATATATATATATATATATATATATATATATATATAAAATAAATGAATGTATATAGATTTTGGGATTTCTTATTATTTTAGAAGTCTTTAAACTTTTAAATAAACTAAAAAGAGCCTCTGGATCATTATTTTGGCCAGTTGGAATGTCGGACCAACACTGGATCGTCGTTGGTCCGATACAAATTAAACATGAATGGAATATATGTAAATGTCTTTATTTTAAATATTTGAACTAATTTATGCAAGAAATGTTTTTAATGCAGCAATGATTATGTCAGTTATTCTCTTATTAATTTCTCATTCGATTTCAACTGTTTTTAATTTGTCGTATTAAGGTTTAACATTATTTAATACGTTTCATTTAATTGTTCTAGTTAAAAGATATTGACTAGTTTGTTAAGGCGGAATCAGACGGTTCACTCAAAAGAATGTTCACTTGAGTACATGCTTCATTTTTCTTTCATTCCATGTTTACACGCCTTAACTGAAATAACATAGTAAAGAACATTCACACGCTCTTTTCTTTCAATATGTTGTCGAATGACGTCGTGCGTCTTAGAATTAGTTTAATCCTCTATTGCCCATCATCATCATCATCATTACTATTATTATTTCCGACAGCTGTTACCATTACGGGGTATATCAATAGTAGACCTCTCGTAATCTGCAACAAAGTACGGTACCGAGCCCGAGACACTCGTGGCTGTATACTGTATGGTAATTTTCGTAGTATTTGATACTCTCGTAGCTTCAATCTCCAAAACGCGAAACTATTGCTAAGTTGTGTATTGTGTTGTGTTGCGTGTTGAGTGCTTAAGTTTTCTTCAAGATTATTATTTTAATTTTTTCTAGCTTTGACTATTTTTCTTTTTAAATATTTTACATTATCAAGCCTGTCCAGAGGTCATATAATGAAAAGCATACTTACATAGTCTTCCCGTAAAGGCACGGCAGTGTATGGAACCGGCTGCCAAACCTTGCCTAAACCTTCGTCCCACTGTTGAGGTACTTCTGGGGGGTACACAGCCGCCATTGCGACTTGGGCCGTCATTTTTGTCCGCTCCTTGTCCGTACTCCTAACTGATATCTCATCTTGAAGATAGATGTTTGATAACATCTTCAATCCTTGGGAGCCATAACGTTGTCGGATAAACTTTCCGATTTGGAAGGCTGTACGTTTGCCAGCCTGAAAAATTGAAATAATTTATGAATCAAAAAATGATAAACGACAAAACTTAAGGGAATTGCATTTTAGATAAAATAACCGACATTACGGTAATTACACTTCCTTCCGCAGTAGTACAGATATTGTGACAGAACAGAGAGAGAAACTTCTAAATTCAATGCAGATTATAAATAATACATATTTAAGGTCACTTTTTTGTTTAATTTACCACTAGTTCGAAAAAAAACTTCTGATAAAATACATATATAATTATCCTTATATTAGCCTGAGATAAGCAACTATCAATAAATAAATACATAACACAATCAGAATATTATTTTTAATATTCTGATTGTGTTATGCGAAGGTTTGTTGCGAAGTACGAGCTAAAAATATCAAAATATATTCTCTTTTTCTATTAATAAGTAGGTATTACTTCATTCACAAACAACTTATGAATCGAGTTACATAAAATTACATAAATATACATCGAATAAAAGTGGTTCGATATAGATATTATTATTTGTTCTCAAGATATGCGAGGCAAAAATTAACCACGATCCTTCATACATAAATCTAATTACACATACACACACACAATCAACCTAAAACCGTAGCATCACATCCGACTCTAGAGGTCTTGAAACATGGAATTATTCAAAATTTAGACTTTAGAAAAACAAATTCATAAAATGACTTTCTAATGAGAAATTACTTAGTTATAATACCTCAACTTGAACGCAAAATACTTTAGTTACGTTGACACTGGAAAATAATTTTAAGATAAGAAATGGCCTCTAACTTTCCGCTACACAACTTAATCGTTTGATTACTGTTTTTCATGGTTACGGTTGGTGTTTATTTTTGTTTAAAGTATCTAGATTCTATACAAAGAAAAAATAGATAGCAAACACTTCTGACATAATGTATGCTCTATCTATTATATCGAATATACAGTGTCTCTGATTTAGAGGGGCCCTCACATTCGATATAATGTTCGGTAGACCAATTTAGTGGCGCACCAACATTTGGAATAATGTTGCGGCCACTGATTTAGTGGCGTCCCAATATTAAGTATAATGTAATATAATGTTGAGGCCATCGAATAGTGGTGCCCCAACATCTGGTATAATGTTTTGGAGTTGATACATTTTGTTAAATGACTTATTAGGGGCTGGCTACTCTCCTGGTCTAAATTGTATTAGGAAAATTCTCTAAAAGATTCATCGATCACTAATAGTGATCGATGAATAGATTACAAGAATTGATAATCTAGTTTCATCTCAGTGTCGTAAGTCAATTTAAGGAAATATCAGGGATACCTGGTGGAAACCGATAAATAAAGATATTGCAATATTGATTTTATTATATGACTTGTTTTGACATGTTTACCTTTTATCTGCCTCTGGCATTACTATTGCTAATCTGCAAACTTGAGTGGACTGTTTTTGTTTGTGTTTAGTTGTAGCACGAATGGCTAGGCTCGACCGGGGAAGGACCACGCTCTCACGGAATACCAGCGTAAAATGATAGCTTAATGCTGTTGTGTTTCGTATAGTGAATGTAGAGAACCGGTGACCCGTTTTACTGGAAACTAGGCATTCCATCTTAGTCCTCATGCGTGACAACGCATCTGCAATTTGATTCGTAATCGAGGTTAGATGTAGATGTCAATGGGCCACAGCAACAACTTACTATCAGGTGGATTGTGTGCTCGTATGTCACCTATTCCTAGAAAAATAAAGATATGAGATGAAAAACAAGATATGACAGAAAAAGATAACAAGGTGTTATCTACCAAGATAGACTCCTAGGCTAACAAGAAGTTCTAAAACCTAATGAAAATACTTACATTTGTTAGTCCTTCGAGACCTTCAATACTTATAAGCTTTCTCAGTTTCTCTTTTTCGTTGGACCCCCCCGAACGGGTTCCCGCCTTGTCGTGGCGGGGGGGCTTAGAAGCCGTGGCTTGGTCACCCATATGGCTGGTCCGAGGTGGAGGGCCGGCCCGAGGTGGCCACTCCGAGTGGGCTTGGGAAGCCCACTTCGGATGTGTGTTGGTGGACTGCGGTGAGAGGTGTGTCCTCCCCACCTACCGCTACAGCCGAGGTGGAGTCGCGGAGGAAGAGGAGTGTTGGTATGGCGATGCGCCACTCGCCCTATCCTCCGCGACTCAAACGGGGCCGCACCGTTGATGCGGTGGTGATGGGGCTGCGGGGGGAGAGGATTGTCGGTATTGCGAGGCGCCGCTCTCTCTATCCTCCGCAGCCGAATCTTGGTTGGCGGCGAAGCCATAGACCAGATCCGCCGCTGGGGTCGGGAAGGCTAGTACTTCTAAGTGCTCGTTTTTCCTGGTCCCATGGCCTTCGCGCATCGGAAGCGGGGGCGTCTGTTGCGCAGATGTAATTGGAGGCCGTGGAGGAAGGCGTGCCATGTGTTCTGGTGCGCCTTACTTGGGAAGGAGAACGGGGAGGAATATTCCTCTCCCGATGAGGTGCTGCCATGGGGCGGCAGTCGCTGGTGGGGCCGCGGATGTGTGCGAAAGCGTTCCCGTAGCCCTGCCAATATGCGACGAAGGTGGAACACCATGGGGTTTTAGTCGGTGCGAGTCCGACATAACCCGTCCTTGCCCCCCGCGAGGCGGGTATGCGTAGGCATTTCCCCATGTTAAAAAAAAAGGCTAATAAGAAGTTCTAAAACCTAGTGAAAATACTTACATTTGTTAGTCCTTCGAGACCTTCAATACTTATAAGCTTTCTCAGTTTCTCTTTTTCGTTGGAAAGCGACAGTTCATCAGCGTCAGGCGTCCGTTCTCCATGCCGGTTGACCTTCGAGAATGATATAAATTAACATTCGATGGATAATTTATATCTTCTTTTACTATAAGGAAATTCTCGAGATAGAAAAAACTAATTTAAAAGATTTTATTGTGTTAAAAAAAAAAATTGAATACTTACAACAAATGCTAATAACAGTTGTTTGTCGTTAACCACACCATTGTTGACTGCATTTCCCTGAGCGTTATGTACCTGGCCGAAGAAACAAAAAAGTAAAATAATGTATCAGCCTATAATAGAATAGAACAGAATAATTTTTATTCAATAAGTGCATAATCTATACAAATAAATAAAATTTAAGTGTCTGTTTTTAATGTCAAAATAACAGCTTTTTACTAAATGCATATGAAAGTATATACAATATGTAACGTAATTAACGCACACCCTCAGACACCCCAATTAGTATATTATGTTATAATCATAATACATACACTGAGTTTTTAGTTACATTATTATTTATCAAATTAGTTATACTAATTCCGGAAGAATGTTGTGGTCACAGTACAAATCCACGAACGCAAAGACTTTAACGTGCTTGAAATAAAGTTCATTTTTCTTTATTTTTATTGAATGACAGAATTAGTAATAATACACTTTTTTTCGTGGGTAGGAGTGAAATAAGTAACACATGTTTTTGATCAGTCTCGCGTAATTTATATTTTAAAAATAAAAATTAGGATATTTTAATGTGTAAAATTCGTGAGGTTAGAGTTTTTTATATATGTAACAATCATCTGTTTACCAGCCTTGATTCCTTGGTATATTTTTTTCTTTAATTTGCTAACACTACACGAAACCATGGAAGCCCTCAAAGGATCACTATCAGCCATGTCAGAACTCTTCAATACTCGTATGAATGAGTTTCAGCAGGACTTAAATAAAACTAGTCCAACTGTGGCCTCAAATATATCTGTACTCTCAACGGAGTTCGCAACATTCAGAAAGTTTATCTTGTCCGCTCTTGAAACTGTTCAATAACAGGTTGAATTTCTTGGGAGAGAGATCGACTGCTTGGAGATAAGGCGGCGTCGTAAGATTCTGCTGCTTCATGGGATTCCCGAGGACAAGTCCGAGGATACATCTTCAATGGCTTCTAACCTTATAATGGACAAGCTCAAGATTCTCAATGTGTCTAACAATTCTTTTAGCCGCTGCCATCGCCTTGGACGTCCGATAGAAAAGAAGCCAAGACCAGTTCTTGTAAAGTTCCGGGATGTCCGAATCCGTGATCAAGTTTGGTTCTCAAAAACAAAACTGAAAAACACGGGTGTAACTATGTCCGAGTTTTTAACAAAAGATCGTCACAAGATGTTCATGGTGGCCAGGCAGAAGTTTGGTATAAGTAATTGCTGGACTAGGGATTTCATATTATCGCTTATGACGGTTCGCGCCATCAAGTTGAATCCCTCGCTGAGCTCGAAGTCATCCCAGAGGCACCAGTTGCTGCTACCCAAGCACGGAAGGCAGTCGGTGGAAGTAATAGATCTACTGACAAAGTAGTTCAGCGCTCCAAGAGGATAGTGAAGAAATGATAGTTATGTGGTATAGGACCTTTAGTTCTCTTCAACAAACTGTATGTATTGTCTTTTACACACATTTCAGTGTCTTCATTGTGCTTTTTGCTAACCTCATTTCTTTTTTTACCAGTCTTATGTTAAGTGTTAAATAAGATATGAGTTAATTAATCCATATATATAATAAGTCTAGTAGTTTTATATATACTCGTTTAAGAGTTAATTAGTCTCTGCATTGTACTTTCGATAACCTTAATTCTTTTATACCAGTCTAATGTTGAGTGTTAAATAAGATGTGAGTTAATTAGCAAATTAGTCGTTATGGATCCCTATCATATACGAAGTATTATCTATCTACATCACTTTGAAACTTAGACTTTGTCAATTGTTTTGATTTTTTTGTTCTAAGTTAGGTTATTTTAACAATGTAGGTATTTGATATTGATACTGATAATTGACTTTTATGTTAGGTTTTGACCACAGATTAATAAATTTTTGTTTCTACAATTATGCAAACAGTACATAATCACTATGTTATTTACCTTAGAGAAATATCCTCTCATTACAGAGTATTAAATGCTCTTGGTTGTACTAACATGGAGATTTGTTTACTTGTATTTTTTTATGCAAAGGCATCTTGCCTATGCGGCCTTGTCGGACGTGTACTTTGCTTACATTATTGCAAGCATAAAAGTTGTTTTGACCTAATGTTTAATATATACTCACAAATGACTCCTAACGTACTGCTCACAGTACATAATTCTATTTAATATCAGTGGTATCTGTGGTTTTCAGTTATTTCTCCCATAAGCACCTGGACTGTGTTATTTTTTTTGCTGAATTCTAATATGACGTAGTCATCTCTGAATGGCACTTATATGTGTAGTACCTTTTAATCATTGTTTTTCTTTTTAAATACATATTTGCATTATTTTCTATTCTGTAAATGCTGGTAGGTAGTAAATTTAACTAATAGGTTTAGTTTAAAATTTTTATTGTTATTAGTTTTTTTTTTTAATAATTTACGGTTGTTTGAATTTTTTTTAAATATTTTTGTAAGGATAACATGTCTTTTGGTGAAAGTGATCATATTTAAAGCTCCTCCTCTTTCTTTTCAGTATCTGATGTATTAAGTATTGACGACAGTTTTGAGAGCATTCCTCCATTAAAAGAGACCCTTGACTCCCATTTTTCTCAAGCTATCAAAAACTTCAATATAGTCCACATAAATGCACAGAGTATTCCGGCTCATTATCCCGATATGTTAGCTAGTTTTGAAAGTGATAATGTTCACGCAATTCTCGTTTCAGTCATGGTTAAAGCCATGTCTTCCTTCTATATCCTATTCCATTCCAGGATTGCAGTTATTACGCAACGACCGAACTGCGAGAGGTGGTGGTGGTGTTGCCATTTAAATTCGTGCTCATATTCCTTTTTCTATTGTTTGTTTATCATCTCCATCTCAGGCTGAGAACGAAGCAGAATACTTATTTGTTGAAGTACTTCTTTCGCACAACAAATTACTTCTCGGAGTTTTTTATAGTCCTTCTTCCACAGTGGACTATTTTATTACTTTGGATAACCTCCTTGAAGAGTTGACTCCATTATATACACATACAGTGCTAATGGGCGACTTTAATACTTGCCTTCTCAAGAATGATGCCCGATCTCTCCGGCTTAAGTCCCTTATAGAAGCAGCCAATTTAAATATCCTTCCTCTCTCTGAAACTCATTTTTTTCCTAACTGTATCCCATCCCTCCTTGATTTGGTAGTTTCTTCTGGTTGATAGTTTTGGTCAATGTGCTGCAAATGCTTTTTCGTATTATGATTCTGTTTTATAAGAAAAGGATACTTCTGGTAATTTTGAGAAAGGATTTGATGTGAGTAGAAAGTAGATTGTTTAATTCACTTCTTGTTGATGATGCTCATCTCGAGTGCTCATCCCCCGTGGTTGACCGAAGATCTTAAAAGATTAATCTGCAGGAAGAATAGTGCAAAGTCGAGTCACAAGTCAGATCCTAAGAATGACAGGATTCGGGAGAAGTACAGACTCCTGCCAAATCAATGCAACAAGATGTGTAGAGATTTACGACACCGCCACATCCATAAATCAGTACAAAACGAAGATCAATGTCGTATTTGGAACTTCTTAAAGTCTATTGAAGTTGGGAAAACTCGTTCATGTCCTGTTACAAATAATGTTGATTTAAATTTGCTTAATCAGCATTTTTCTTCCGTTTCTTGCCTGAACAATATGGCAAAATTAACAACACTTACTCAACTTTCATCGTTTCCCACTCCTGACTTTTTTCCATTTGTGTTTAGGCAATTTGCAGATTGTGATGTTAGGAAACACATACTCTCTATCCATTCCGATGCTGTCGGAAGTGATGATGTCAGTCGTAAAGTGATCATTCCCTTGTTGGACTTTTTAACACCTATTATAACCCATATCTTAAACTTTTCCATATCATCATCTTATTTCCCTTCCCAATTGAAGGACGCTCAAATCGTACCTTTATCTAAAACAGCAAATCCTTCAAGTTTTTCTGAATATCGTCCTATTTCAATTCTTCCTTTCCTTTCCAAAGTTTTAGAACGCCTTGTCCAACAACAAATTAATTCATTTTGTTTAAGAAATAGCATCCTTAGACCTCTCCAATCTGGCTTTAGATCTGGTCATAGTACGACTACAGCGTTATTAAAAATCACCGACGACATTCGTCACGGTATGGAGAATCATCAAGTCACAGTATTGGTGTTGCTGGATTTCAGCAATGCCTTCAGTACTGTTGATCATGATATCCTGTTAGGGATTCTGCGTTCTCTTAACATATCTCCAACTGCAATTTCCTGGTTTCATAGTTATTTGCACGGGCGCCGGCAACGTATTCGTGTCCAAGATAGATTTTCTTCGTGGCTTGATACCGTAGCTGGCGTTTCACAAGGTGGTGTCTTATCTCCTCTTTTATTCGCAATTTTTATTAATACGATTACATCCCAAATATCTTCTCTCTACCACTTGTATGCAGTTGACCTTCAAATATATTTACAAACAACCTTCAAAGAACTTGCCAAAGCTGTTGAATGTATCAACAAGGATCTGGCTTTTATTCTCGACTGGACACGATCTTATGGGTTGACGGTTAACCCTTCAAAATCGCAAGTTATAATTATTGGGAGTTCAAGAACTATTTCCAAAATTAAAAAATGTCAAATTCAACCCCTTGTATTTAGTGGTATTCTTATTCCATATAATGAAGTAGTTAAAAATTTAGGTATCCTTTTGGATTCCAGTCTGTCTTGGACACCCCAAATTAATGCAGTGAGCCGAAAAATGTTTGTGGCTTAAGCTTCACTCCGAAGGCTTAACTACTTTTTACCCATTTCCACCAAAATTACGCTTGCACAATCTTTGCTACTCTCTATCCTCGACTATGCTGACATTTGTTACCTTGATATCACCGAGGAGCAACTTAATAAACTTGAGCAACTCCAAAATCTCTGTATACGGTTCATATTTGGGCTTCGTAAATATGACCATGTCTCGGAATACCGCACTAAACTCAAGTGGCTCCCAATCCGTCTTCGTCGGAATACTCATATACTTTCTGCGCTCTACTGCGTCTTATTTAGTACAAGTCCTCCCTCGTTTTAAATTTCTTGGCTCTTGTCAC